CCGTGGGTTCAACTCCCCCCTCGGACGCCTCTGGGACACCTCTCGGGCATCTCTTATGGCATCCACTTTGGCTTAACTCCTCCGGGATAGGGTGCAACAGATTCAACAAGCTCACATGTTCATGACATCGACATCGATAGAAGAAACCAAACAAATCATGCAAGCAGCTTTGTTTTGCCTCTGGGACACCTCTTGGGCACCTCTTATGGCATCCACACTGGTTCAACTCCTCCGTGGAGGTTTTGGGATACGGTGCAACAGATTCAACAAGCTCACAGGTTCGTGAACACATCGGATGCATCGAACAGTGTGGCAAAGTCCAGCCACGCTTCCTTAATTATCGGGGACTTCAATTCTAAGGTTGGCTGTGTCATTGCTGTTTGTGTGTCTTACATGTTCACAACGTTTTACCTCATGAGCATTTGCCTCACTCCGCTTGATGTCCCACCAGTCCGGATGCACCCCTGCTAGCTTTCGTCACCTACCCTCGGCCTCAAGTTGTTTGTTTGTTTGTTTGTTTGTTTAATGGCAAAGAACATGTCGTGGGAATCACTGATTTCGTGAGATTTCATGAGCTGTAATGGTCCTCGCAGCGCCTCTTGCATTGCAGGAATATTCCTCGCTACTGCAAAACGAGAACAGTTGGCAAAAACCAACAAGTTGGCGCATTTTCCGGACATGTTGTATACAGTTAAACGGGTGTTTTTTTCCTGTTCACACTGCGTTCAACTAGGCCCAAGCAGGGCACATCACCAGATGACGAATGCAATAACAAACGATAAACAGAACAATCCCGAACCTTGTCCGCCTGACAGGGGAGTCGTACAGAAGAAAAAATAACCGGGAACGTTCCTAGAGCCTTTGTACTTGTCTCACTGCACTACAGAACAACAAGGCAAGATGATGGGTAGCCGGGGGGTTGCCCGGAAAGCAACATGCTGAGGGATAGAAAACCATGCGTTTTACAGTTTTTTGTGCCTTTCGGGCCGCTCAACTCATCGTCTTGGAGTTCATGAACTCCAAGGCGAGGTGGGTGGAGGCGTCAGGCGCAGGCCTTTGCAGGCGGCGTAAGCAGGGTTCGGCTGGGATCTGAGATAAAGTGATGCCATATGTGATGGGGCTATGTTAACCCATCTTGCAGCCATATTGGGACCATGTTGTGGGGCGGAGAGCAAGCAGAAGCACAAAATGCATCACAATGCAAAACATGCAAGGCTACTCGGGCAGCATATCTCGCACCACGGGCCTTTGAAAACTGGGTCACAGCCATCAACGTATCAAAGCGTTGAGGTTATGTTGATCCATCTTGGATTGTTTCCAAAAAAGCATCCATCCACGCTATAGACGAACGTCCATGCACGCTCTCCCCAGTAGCCTGCGAGTTTCCAGTGCTTCCGATAGAACATCCCCACGCTGCCTCGGCGGCTTGAAAAAGGTCGGCAGCTCACGGTGCCACCCCACCCCCTCGGCAGCGTATCTCACATTGAGGCATCTTGGAGCTATGTTGATGCTATGCTTATCCACCGTAAAGGCTTTTGAAAATCTAGGCCTCCGTCCACGCTCTCCCCAGTGGCCTGCAAGGTGCCTCGTATAGAGCACCGGTCGGGTACCTCGCCCCTACCTCCGGTAGGACCGGCGGTGCCAGGGCCTGCCCGCGCCGGACTTTCAAAATATCATCATCAGCTCATCCTACGCATCATGCCCGTAACTCATCATTGCATCGCCCGCATCATGAGCGTAACGCATGATGCAACCAAGAGTGATCATGTTGGCCCCACCCCCTCACCCCCCTACCCCCCTCATCCGCATCATGTCCGGACCGACTCCCAGGCACCAACGGTGTTTTGTCCGTCGCAGTGGTCGGAAGCGTTGCAGTGGCCCCTCGGTGGCAGTGGGACGGACGCGGACGGTGACGCGGTGGGTGGGATGTCCGGTGGAACCGAAGAGAAGAAACGTAAGTTAATCCGATTTGTTTTGAGCTATTTGGGGAGGGAGGTTGTTGCTTTTTGCATGTGTTTTTTTCATTTTTGAACTGATGTTTTTTTTTTCCATCTCGTTTTTCTGTTGCCGGCCACTTTTGCGGTGCTGGCCATGTTGCTTTGTTCATACTGTCGCTCGACTCGCCAGGCTTCCACTGGCTTCGTTTCGCTGGGCAGCCGGCCTTCGACTGCGAAGAAGGTGCGCTGGGCAGGGTGGCCACTGGACATGTATACAATGTAGACCCTTTAAGTTCAGAAAGACCCCCAGGATATGGATTGAACATAATTGAACAAACCCTTCATATGGAGGTTTTATTTCTACATTGCATGTAATATAGTAAAGTTGCTCGCGATTTGGAACTCAACACTCAGCGATCTCGTAGCATTGCCTCGAAGACATTCACTCGAAGTCACTGCTTGGCTTGCACTGCCTTGGCAGAGAACGGATGCTGGCAGCTGCGTGTTGAAGTTCAAACAGCCAGGGTCTACTAAGAGACCAAGACTGAGATGCCAGAGATGCGTCCGTGTGCTCCGAAAGGGACTGATTTGTGGCAATCCACCGCATCCATCTCACCCACGGAGCACACCGAGAGAAACTCGCCCAAAGAAGCCGCGCCTTCCTCGCCGGAGGAGAGCACCTTGAGAGGAGCTCGGGCTGCAACCTCAGTGGATGGGCAGCTTGAACACCCGAAATCTCATTGCCGAGAAGTTCGCTCCACTCATGGATTGGTGTGGTGGTGTGATACTTCGAAGATGGTCACCACCTTTCTTCCAGGGTGGATCACTGAGCAGAAGCTTTCTGGGGACTTGGGCCAGACGGGGCGCTTTCAAACCGCCCGGTGCTCAGGCCAGCGAGCCTTTCTCGTCTGCTGCGTCGTCGGGCCAGACGGTGCCATTGGCCGCTGGGCGGAAAATTGCAGTAGAAGTTAGGGCAAAGGCAAGGTTTCATCACGGATGAACATGTTATTTTTGATTGTAAAAGTCTTTTTTCATGAACAGAGCATGCAAACATATGCAAACCCAGGTACTGCAAGTATTGCAATGGGTGAAAGCTGAAAGCGGTGCGCGCAAAAGCCATGTTTGTGCTCACAGCCCCGATTTAGAAACAGTTCCGCTGTTTTGGGAGGAGTCTTGCTGTACCTGGAGTTTCACAAGAAACACGTTTCTGGATTGGTTTTTAACATTACTCTTGAGTAAAGCGGAGGATCAGCGTGGAGAATGGACACACATGGACGCACTCCTGGATCAGCGGTTGAGAGGTTGAAGCATGAGAAGCCTACAGCAGTATAATATGGGATAGGCACAATAACCTTGCCACGTGAGGCTGTTCAACCAGATGCACTGGGAGAAGGGGTTTATATAGACCCCCAGATAGAAAAGTAGATCCCCACTAAAAATGTATTGGAAACCGTTTCTATCTATTTGGGGATCACTATATACGAACCCTCCGTTCACACGACCCCTCCGTTCCCAGGCCTTCGTGCTGGGTGCCGCCGCCGTGGGTGCCTGGCACCTCAGGGGGTGACGGGCCTTTGGGAGGTCGTAGGGCCTTAGGTCTAAGAAGGAGGAAGTGGGGGTTGATGGTTGACGCACCAAGCGCACCGTCACAGCTCCAGATCGATGATTTGAGACATATCTGTGCGGAAGCGGCATGTGTGGATGCTCTGATGGTTGATGGATGGCATGTGCTGTGGCACTCCATTTGTATTGGGTTCATGGATGATGGATGCCGTGCTGAGGCTGGACTAAGCCGAGCTGGCCGAAAGGCTCGGGGCTTGACCGAAGCGAAACGAAGAACCCCAGAGCCCCAAGACTAGTGAGACGGGGAATCTTCGAAGCTCAAAAGCCTCAAGCCAATTCAAGCCACCTTAAGTTTACAAGGAACCTCATGAACCTCTGACACATCTGGTTTGGGATACCTTCTTGATTTCCTTTCTAATCTTTCTGGTCGCCTGGAAACGCCAAGAGGACTGTCGACCGACCTTTGCATCTCCGTTTCGTCAATTGGTCGCTTCATGTCGTTTCCCGACTCTCGTTGCCGGCAAACCGGTGGGGAACGCGATGATCTGGAGGGAGTTCTTGCAGGATTCACCCTTGCCTTTCTTGTCGCCCGCCCTTCCTTGCCTGAATGTTTCGCCATCGCCAAGCAGCCAAGCTGCATCTTCCTCCCCATTCAGCCGACTTCCTCATCTCAGCCGACGGCATGGCGTCCTAGGCGACCAGGGCATCTGCAGTGGTTCGCCAGGCCGAATCCAAGGTGCGATGCAGGGAGAGTTGAAGCCAACGTGGGGTTACCAGAGATGCACTGAAAGTGGGGAGATCTGCAAATCCATGCGTCGAATTCTCATTGAAAGAACACAAACCAGGTCCTCAACCAAGGGGTGGTAGGTCAACGGACTCGTACCCGTGCATGTTGTGAGACGGGGGACACTTCGTTTTTCGTTCGTGGATCCGGATGCTCCAAGCGACCGGACGCTCCGCAGCCTCACGTGAACATCGGCACCATTGGCCACGTTGACCATGGGAAGACCACCTTGTCTGCCGCCATCTCGTTGGTGTGCGGCCAGCTGAAGCCCAAGAGTGCTCCAGGTGGTGGGCTTTCATTTTGATGTACTTGGACTTGCACTCACTGGAAACCATCACGGAAGTTGAAAACTAGATAAAAATGGTCCCTTTGGGATTTCCTTGGAGGATCAATGATCATTTTCCTCTACAAACCGGTGGTGTTCCACTTCCATGATTGTTTCAGGTGGACAAACAGATCCACAAAAACACCGGACGCTGCGGCCGGACCGCTACGGCTCCCATTGGAACTCGATGTGTTGGGCCCACGCAAACCGATGGCCGCACCGGAGTCAAGCGCGCCGCATGGAGCGCTCTCGGTCGCCGATGTGACCGAGGTTCAGCACCTCCGGCGACACCAAGCAGAAGTCCTACGAGGCCCGGGCGAGGCGACCCGGTGGCACGCGTGGCGCGCGTGGGGTGCCAGGAGATCGACAACGCCCCGGAGGAGCGGTCCCGTGGGATCACCATCAATGCATCTCACATTGAGTACGAGACGGAGAACAGGCCAGGTGGGTGCGTGAGGTGAGGTGAAGAACTCCTTCACCACCTGTGTTGATGAGCTGTTTGGGAGAGTTCTCATGGTGGTGCTGTTTCCGTGAGTTGGTGGTCAAGTTTGCCATTGATATCTGCTCCTTCGCCCCCCCCTCGCTCTCTCTCTCTCTCTCTCTTCTTTTTGTCCGTTTCAAAGTCGCGCGGCCCATAGGCCAAAAGCGCACTCTCCTTCAAGAAGAGCCGGTGGATCCAAAGTTCCAAGTCCGCGCGCATCTCTGCTGCACATCTCCGCTTGCGCCAAGGCTGATGGGATGGTGCCATTTTTCTGGCAGCTTGTGGGACATACGGACCCTCCGGCGACATCGCCCCTACGCCTCTAAGGCGGTTTTGGAGCTGCTCCTGATCAATTGCTGCCAGCACTCAAGCCGTCTTCGTACTTCCTGCAGCGTAGGCCCCATTGTGCCATTGTCACAGATAATTTTTTCACAGCACTTGCATGCACTTGCGCTCGCAGGACGAATCTCTTTTCTCAATCTCAGAGTGGGTGGAACAAAGCTTGATGCGCTTGTCACAGGCTAGGCACTTGAGGTCACCTGCTGCTTGTGCGGCCAAGCCTGCTGCTCCTTGTGCACCAATCGCGCAAAGACATCAATGCAGGACTGCGGCAAGGTGGCATGATGTAGACCCGAAGCCTCTGCCACTCATCAGTGCGGCTATGCCAGAGATTTGCAAGCCGACTTCTCCCCCGCCTTGATGGCCTTCTACACCACCTTGGATACTAAGCAGACTTGATGGGAACCCAGCATCAACTTCAAAATCAACCAGCGCCCATAGACAAACGCACGCGTCTGTGTGGGCTGTCCCGTTCCCATCAAAATGTAATCATCCTCAGCCCAAATGGCCAATGGTGATGCCAGCCACCCATCGTTGAAGTCGTGCATCAGCACAGGTGGCAGCAACAGCAATCGAGACTCGATGACGAGGCATGCTTGGTAGAGGCCCGACATCTTCCAAACATCCAGTGCAGCAGACGGAGTCCAGTCCTTCCTCTTGCTGAAGTTACAGGCTATAGCCCGCATCAAGCATCATACTTGCCAGGCCTCTAGTAGTGTGTTTTGATGATAGGTGCAGGTCCAAACTGAGATGCACTGCTGTCAAAGGGAGGGCATTCAACATGTTGGTTATGTGAATGAGTCCTCAGTGATCCTTGTGCCCACGTCACCAGAGCTGTCCTCTCCTTTTGGATTCCCTGCTCTGCCGATCAAAGAGCTGCCAATCCAGAGGGGTGACAAGTTCTCCACAGAAACGATTCTTTTGCGCGTGGCCAGAGCCGATGCCAATCGATCTCATGCTTTATCCCTCTTTTTGGACATATGCCCGCGGATGCCCAAGCATGCAGATGTAGCCCAGCGGCAAGGCATGATCTGAAGTCGAGTCCACCGTCCGGCCATCCTCGACGACCTCGGCCGTTGAAACCGTGGGATGCTGCTCAGTCCGTCCGGGTCCGTGGGAGTGCAGTGCTTGGAGTGGAGTTCGAGGTACATCCAGATACATCCAGATAGCGTCAGAGACCCAGTTTGGCCCACTGAAATCTGAGCATCTGCTTTTTTGAAGACCAGCCAGCGTGGTGTGTTTTGCCTGCAACCGCATCGCGGCAGACTGCAGCCAACGCTGAGGTCGTCAATCCACGCATCAATGTTGTCCGCGGGGTGGGCTTCAGCAACTTTGAGCAAGGGCGGCGCCAAAATCAACTTGGGCACTTGGAGAGCTGCAGGACAGCCGGCAAGGATGCCTTTCTCACAGTGAACAGGAGCAGCTACCCCTTGTTCTCCAGGCATGTTCTCCAGCAGCCGGCATAGACCCCCATGACCATGTTGAGGATTCCTGTCAACGCCAGTGCTAAGCTTGTGGACATGGCTCAGGATTTAAAAAATGTGAGTTGACCCCACCATGCCAAGTCATGGCCCACATCCGCCACTGACTGCAAGGGGCTTGTGCGGTGTTGACATACCTGCCGTACTCTCTCTCCCTCTCTATAAATATCGGTGTTTCCAAATGGCATTCTTACCTCGAGAATGGTTGAAGCGTGTTGAAGCCAAGAGGGTTTGTGCAATCTACTCTGAAACTGAAATCACCGCAGCCCTTCCAAGCACAACGCGGCATTCCAGGTTGGTTTTTGTGAACTCCCAATCCTCAAAGACGTGTCTCGTCGCCTACTGCCGAAAAATCTGCGAGGCACTACTGCCATGTGGACTGCCCTGGCCACGCAGATTATGTGAAGAATATGATCACAGGCAGGGCCTGAGCAAGCTGAACTCAGCAGGTTTCTGGATGAAGCTGAACCGAACAGAGCGATATACATACATATCCAGACGGGTTTACTAAAGACTGTCTTGGGACATGCACCATGTCTACTTTTATGTGTTTTACGTGCTGTTTTAATGTTATGTATCGATTTTTTACGTCAATATTTTTTTCGCCAGGTTTTGTCGGTTGTACATAGAACACCATGGAATTTTGTTTTCAGAACTGTCGTATTGTTTCCAAGGATTCGTTGCGCGTCTGCGTGTGTACCCCAGGGTGGGGGTTTGGGGGGCGGGCAAGATGCTTCCATGCGTGTTGTCTTGCGCACGCATGTGTATCTCAAGGGGATTGCGCTCGCAAGCCAATCACTGCGCGCAAAAAAGGAGAAGTCAACGGCTTGTTGTGGTGCTATGTGTACCAGTGGTGGCTTCGGACTTCTTGTAAAGATGTGAGGGAGCGTAGGTACAATCTCTATACACAGTGGGCAGAAGCTCCCATTGGCTGAAGCGTTACGGCGGCCTGTAGAAAGTTGATCTCAGGGAATCTGGACTGGCAGGCTCGACGTGGAGACAAGGCAGAAGGTTTACTTGAGACAGTAACCGTTGTGGAAAAGAGATGAAAAGAGTAGTTAATGACAATCCCCCAAAAAGCATTCCCCGTTTTTAGCAAGCCAAGCGTGATATATATATGAGTTTATATTTTTTGGCGCGTGCTCCCTGTCGTGATTGGAAGTTCGACTTGAGCGGTTCATATCCTCGAATCATACCCCCGAAAATCATACCCTTCAAAAGTAGGTGTAAGAACCTGAGCCAGAGAAAAAACTATGGTCGTGTACTTTGAACTGGGGTGTTTCACGCAGCTAGTGTCCTAAAAACGATACCTCTAAGACGCGCGCTGCAGCCAGTGAGATGGATAAGTCCTTATAAAGAGTTGTCGCAGCTTGGAGCCGTTTTGCTTGCGCACCGGAGATATACTCAGCTTGACCTTGATCATGGGAGCAGAAAGAATGCGGATCCGTTTTTGCTTCCTTGTCCCAACCATACCTCGCGAGGTATGTTTTCTCAGCCACGTGGCAAGATCCCCACACGTACACTTGGTCTGCTGCTGGCTTGCTGCTGCCTTTTCTGCTGCTGCTGGCTGCCTGCTGGCTGCCTGCTGGTTTTTGCTGCTTCGCTTCTGCTGCTTGCTTCTGTTTGCTGCTCTGCTACTGTTGCTGCTGCTGCTGGCTTGCCGGTGTTGCTGGTCTGCTGCCGTTTTGCTGCTGGCTTGTTGCTGCTGCTCCTGCTGCTGCTGCTGCTGGTGCTGCTGCTGCTGCTGCTTGCTGCTTTGCTGCTGCTGGCTTGCCGGTATTGCTGGGTCTGCTTCTGGCTTGCTGGTTTGCTGGTGCTGCTGCTGCTGCTGCTTTTGCTGGTGCTAGCTGCTCTGCTCTGCTGCTGCTTTTGCTGGTGACGGCTGGCTGTGCTTCTGCTGGTGCGCAAATGCTCCGAACAGCCTGAATCTCATTAACGTGGCGACAATTCATCTCCACTGATTGCCGATGGCATCTCCACACGCCGCGCCGTCTCCACATCTGGCATCATCATGGTCCCGCCGAAGCGCAAGATGAACGCCTCACCGCGCGCAACCACGCACACCGCCAACAACCTTCATATTCCGAGATAGTGCGCGCAAGACACTAGCGCTGAGCAATTGTTTTTCCACACAGTCAGACGAATCGTATTTTTCAGATGATGTGCGAGGACTTGAAAGTGACGTGACAATGGCCATCGCCTTACACAACAGTCTATTCACATCTATTCACTCCGAACCGCTTTCATCAATCCCCAGCCCTATCCCAAACCTGATGTTCAATCCCCGGGTTTCTATGGGGCCAAAACTGTTCTCGATGAACCGTTTGAGCCTGAAATATGCCCCCCTACGCAGCATTCTTGCCCGGAGTCCAGCCATAAGGCTAAGTCCTAGCGCAAAGCAATGACCAAAAAATGAGAGCCCGGTGCGGCTAGCAGATCTTGCAACATGCCCCTTGGTTGAGGGTTTGCCGTCAGATGAAGCAGTTCAGGATCAGATGATTGCGCGAAATATTTTGGAGCTGCTGCATCTTGCGTTGAGATGGATACGGGCGCACAAACACGCACAAACATGCGTTGGGACTTTTGCCGGCCCAATGGTTCCACAGTTCGCACTGTGTCAGCTGAACGGGTGGTTGTAGAAGAACAGTTGTTTCATTTTGTTTTGAAACCGCGTGTGAACTGCGTTGTTTCAAGTTGTCTCTTCAAGAGGTGTGTCTTAGAAAACAAGAACCCCCAGGGTTCCGCAGATGTTCGTGACGCTTAACTATTTGGTTTTGTTCTCTAAAGCGCGCGGAGACCAGTTTTCTTTACCTGTGCCCATTGGTCCCATGGATTGCTTGACTGGGTTCGACGTACGTTTTCCGGAAACGCCTCCGGCCAGACAGTCCACTGTTTCGATCATATCTTCTCCGAAGCTCGAAGCTGTCCACGCCCATTCGTTGCGCTCACCTCACGCCCCGCGCAGCTTCCTTCCCTAACTTTCGCCAGCCCCCCCGGCCACAAGTTCTAGAGCAAGGGTGATAGCGCCCGTCCAGCTGCTTTCAGTGCTGTAGTCTAGAGCCCCATTAGGGAATTGATCAAGGTTAGACTTGTCAACTTCAGGAATTGGAGTTGACACTGGTTGGTTGGTTCTTACTCCGGATAGGATCATTTTCATGGGTCTTCGAAGGGCTGTAAGGAGCGGTTTAGCGGCTAAGCGGAAAACTTCAAGTTTGCAAAGCGTATTTGACAAAACTGATGTAGCAGAGCCTGTTGTATAGTAGAATATAAAAGAATGTGAGAGGATATGATACTATATGATATAGCAAACATACGTAAAACTGTAGATATGACGCCATGACGCAAATTTCTATATACGAAGACACACTCACCTTCTTGCATGTATATGTACGTGTATACACAGGCCACATCAGGACTTGGGCTTGACACGCATATGAGCCAGTCCATGTTGAATCTTCCTGCTTGAGGAGCCTGCCAGATGGATGGTGGAATCTTGGTGATTTCTTCACCAGATGGACCAATGGCACAGACACGCGAGCACATTCTGCTCTCCAAGCAGGCAAGCTTCATCTAGCATGCCGCATGTGAGAGTGTGTGTGTCTTATGGGCTATATTGGGTTGTGAGATGATGTGGGTATGGCCTTCATTGTCCAATAGGGTTGTTTTTTGCTACTTTTGGATGGTTCCCGTTGTTTTCACACCAGTGCCGACTCCACCCGACATTCTCGGCGTGCCGAAACCAGGTCGGCGTGCCCAAACTGGTTTGCTTCATGAACAAGGCCGCCTTGTGACTGGGGGTCTGACCCACTCACTTGATTGCTCGAACATGGGTGGCCAAATGTGGGCCTGGGCAGCAAGACTCCTGCGTGAATTGTACTGTTTCCACTGTAACATACTGCAACCATCCCTCGTGCATTCCATTTCACGTGATTGACCCAACCAAGGAGGGATTGAACATGTTAAGGATTCGATGAACAACCCAATGGTTTTTCACCAAATCGAACGGATCCCTCACCTGTTGGCTATTGATGTTTATTGCATACATCAAAGGTTTGCAAATTGTTGAACATACTTATTAGTATAGTTCAATCCAAGCTGTTGATCCAAGTTCTGCCTATGAGATCCAACACTGTCCAGACTTCTCCGGCCCGTGCCCGTGCCCGCGAAAACGGGTGGGACTCTGGGGACGCCGGCCCAGACACTGGCACGTGGGTGGTTGGAGGTCGACATGATGGACGATGAGGAGCTACTGGAGCTGGTGGAGTTGGAAACCCGTGAGATGTCTGGGAGCCTCAGAAAGCTCAACCTGAGCTTGGAAAGCTGTGGATTGAACCCCCGGGGTAGCCTACAAAGTTGAAAGATTGCAATCTCCAGCTGGTCAACCCATTCTTTGCATTTTCACTCCAGGAAGATGTGATATGTGTACCATCATCAACCAAGCAGATAGATCATGCACTTCCCAATTAGTCATGCCGCATGCCCCATCCATCATATTCCATCCGTCTCGATTCAACATCCCGGGGCCTCAGGTTGAGCCAGTACGGCTTCCCAGGCGACGACACTCCATTCGTTCAAGGAGCCTTTTTATATGCGGATGTTTGAGGTGGACAAGTCTCCGGCTCGGACATTTATGGGATCGTCCCGTCACGTTCAAACAGGTTCCGCACCCGCAGGTTGTTCAGCCTGTTTTCCGAGCTCGGGACGCGTCGGTTTCACGACGCGTCTTCGACGTGTTTTCCTCGCAGGATCCGCCTTGCAGGCGCTGGAAGCCATGAAGAGCAACCCTGGAACTAAGAAAGGCAACTCTGCTGAATGAAGTCCAGAAATTCTGCAGAAGTACGTTCCTTTCATATCCTTTCGTTTCATTCCTTTGGTTTTGACAAATATATGGTTCCCTTTCTTAATTGCAGGTGATGACAAGTGGGTGGACAAGATCTTGGAGCTGATGGAGACTGTGGATGACTACATCCCAACGCCAGAGCGTGACACTGACAAGCCCTTCCTCTTGGCCGTGGAGGATGTGTTCTCCATCTCTGGTCGAGGAACTGTGTGCACTGGCCGAGTTGAGCAGGGTATCGTGAAGAAGGGCGATGAGGTGGAGATTTTGGGCCGCGGCAAGAAGCC